ACTTGAAAAAACCGCATCGTCGCCATCTCCAAAAAATTTGCAACATTTTTGTACCAATTTCGTAAAAATATTGGTCCATAAATGCGCACGCGCGTGGATGATTGCATGGGTGGAGGCGTAAACTTAAAAAAATAAAACACCAGTTTCCTAAAAAAAATTTGCAACATTTTGGTACTAATTTCGTGAAAATTGGTCCATAAATGCGCATGCGTATGGGTGGATGCGTGGGTGGAGGTGTTACACTTAAAAAAACCGCATCGTCGCTATCTCCAAAAATTTTGCAACATTTTGATACCATGTGTTCAGAAATATTGCAAAAAAAATTTTTTTCGCAAAAACATACCCTCCTCTGAAGAAAAAAAATAAAAATAAAAAAATTAAAAAAAAACCCACAGCAGCCACCCCCGAAAAATTTGCAACATTTTGGTACCAATTTCGAGACAATCGGTCCACAAATGCGGAAGTAGTTCGGGCACAGACAGACAGACAGACAGACGGACGGTGCTTATATATATAGATTAAATTAATCCCTCTTTCTCTTTCTCTCTCTCTCTCTCTCTCTCTCTCTCTCTCCCTCCCTCTCCCTCCTCAATATTATATATAATAATATAATATTATAAATAAATATTATGTAATATAATCATTTTTTGCAGTAAAACAAAAAGCTCGATGGGCAAGAGCCGGAAGAGGTACCAATTTAAAAAAAATCGGTTCATAAATATACGATTGCGTGGGTGGGTGCGTGGGTGGAGGGGTAAACTTAAAAAAATAAACCAGTAGTTTTCTCAAAAAAATTTGCAACATTTTGGTACTAATTTCGTGAAAATTGGTCCATAAATGCGAATGCGCGTGGGTGGATGCGTGGGTGGGTGCGTGGGTGGGGGTGTAACATTTAAAAAAACCGCATCGTCGTTATCTCCAAAAATATTTGCAACATTTTGATACCATGTGTTCAGAAATATTGCAAAAAAAGATTAAACATACCCTCCTCTGTAGAAAAAAAAAAAAATAAAAAAATTAAAAAAAAAAACCCCACAGCAGCCACCCCCAAAAAATTTGCAACATTTTGGTACCAGTTTCACGAAAATCGGTCCACAAATGCGGAAGTAGTTCGCGTACATACATACAGACAGACGGTGGGTGGAGGGGTAAACTTAAAAAAATAAACCAGTAGTTTTCTCAAAAAAATTTGCAACATTTTGGTACTAATTTCGTGAAAATTGGTCCATAAATGCGCATGCGCGTGGGTGGATGCGTGGGTGGGTGCGTGGGTGGGGGTGTAACACTTAAAAAAACCGCATCGTCGTTATCTCCAAAAAAATTTGCAACATTTTGATACCATGTGTTCAGAAATATTGCAAAAAAAGATTAAACATACCCTCCTCTGTAGAAAAAAAAAATAAAAAAATAAAAAAAAAACCCCACAGCAGCCACCCCCAAAAAATTTGCAACATTTTGGTACCAGTTTCACGAAAATCGGTCCACAAATGCGGAAGTAGTTCGCGTACATACATACAGACAGACGGTGCTTATATATATAGATTTTACCGTAACTATATAAGAATATACCACGTTATGAAATTATAACTATATAATTTAGCAATCATAACTTCATTTCATTATATTAAATTGCAATAACTAGAATATAGCAGAAAATTATATAGAGAACGATTTCAGAAACGTATAGAAGCTAGCAAGCGAACAATAGAACCCCAACGTGCGGCTACCGCTTGAACTTTCTTTGTCGCCCGGACCGCCCCCGATCTTGATACGATAAGCAACCCCGCGCCTTTCGGGATGCTAACACCTGCACGTCATGAACCTCGAGAATCAACAAATCATAGACTTTTACGACTTATTCTCTCTTAGATTTTCTCGTCGCCTATCACCATATATGGTCATGATAGATTCTCTTGACCATATTTGGTCAAAAGAAGAGCTCACTCGTTGCCTTCTCAGGACCCCCAAACCACCCTCTTCTTTTATAAAAAATTTATTATATCTTCCTAGAAAAGCGTTTTCGTGAGAATCCTCCCACCCAAAAATTCGCACACAACACCAAGATTTTTCGGTTTCGAAGGATATATAAACTCTAGAAAATCTGGCCGGACGACGGCATTTCATCATAGAAAGTTACAGTGTACATTTTAAATTGTCGCTAGCCAAGAAGTGCAGCAACAATTTCCCAGCAAACACAGTATATAAATGTTATATATTTAAGCATGTTACATGTAACGTATATGTTAGTTGTAATTTCCCACTCATAGATGTAACATTTTTAATATAACATATATTACATTGTAGTTATATTATCATTATATCCCAAGATAGCACTGACTTATCAATACATCAATGTGCTATTTGGTATATAATTACAATATAACTACAATGTAATATATGTTATATTAAAATGTTACATCTATGAGTGGGAAATTACAACTCACATGGATGTTACATGTAACGTACACGTTATATTACATGTTATATTCCGTTTTATTATAGCAATGTAACAATTATATATCGGTGTTTGCTGGGTTTGCACCATCCTAAAATCATCATAACGATTTATAACGCGAATCTCGGAATATATAACTTTGTCAACGACACTTAACACTGTAACCCAGCGTAAATTTGTAACTTGGTATATTGTTCAAGTCACAGGTTAGCCGTCGAACTCGCTGACTTCTTAATTCTTAATCGCGCACAATTTGTAACCGGGTAAAAGACGAATAAAGAACTTCAGAACATCGTACCACCTAGTGTTTGATTTCGCCATAAGCACTCCACGACCGAGGTCCATGCGAGGGAGCGAAGCTGGCCAGGCACATCACAGGTCTACGAAGAGTTCGTCGTCTTAAAGGTAGGAATCTGTTAAACACACAGATCATCCAACACTCCGACATTACATAAAAATTTGAACGAGTTTCGAAGGTCGCACAGATTTCCTTCAAGCATTATCCAATCACCTTCCAATTATCTTATCAACCCCCTGATTATTTCCTTCCCCCGAGCGCTGAATAAGCGCACCGGAAATAACTCTCTTATCAACCCCTTGATTATTTCCTTCCCCCGAGCGCTGAATAAGTGCACCGGAAACAACTATCTCCTATCAACGCCCCGAGGTAGATCTTTTTCCTAAATCTTCTCCTTCTTAATAAACGATACAAGGAGATCAATAATTTAGCGAATGTTATTTTGACAAATTCTCCAGTTAATTAGATTTGATTCAATTAACGTAATCTCTTTCAGTATACCACCCCCTAGTAGTATCCTCCTAGTAACATCTAATTTAAATAGATATTCCATTATTATTTAATGACAATTTTATAAATGAATACACGAGAACCAGAAGATCGCATGTCGGAATAAAATTATCATAGAGCAGGTAAAAAGAATCGTGCTAACCGCGCCGCATCTACTTTACGTTGGCTCCAGCGACAAGCCCTTGATAAAACCCTCTTTACAGACGAAAGAACCGTCCCCGTTACAAAGATCGAACCCTCAATTGACGAATTACCTAATTCTTTTGATTTTAACGACGACATTTTCGAATCATTATTATATTCACAGAACTGTGCGATTTAGTATCGGAAATAGAGGAGAAAATCTCCCAGGATCTAATAAAATTCTTAGAAGAACAGTGTCCGGATATCTCATTTAAAATCGATCAGTATGCTAATTATTTAAATATTTGAATCATTTCTCTAATGTCATCAGAATTCACTATTGAAGAAAATCGGAAATTAATTATAACGAAGAAATCCATTCTATAATAAGTATAATTATCACCCTACTAACAGACGTTTTAGAGGGAAACATTGATTTAGACTAATTTCTCGTCTGTTTAGATAACATTCCAGATCCATTGCACACGATAAACGCGAGACTTCGCGAAAACCGATAATTCATATGTAATTTAAATAATCGTTTAATAATAGGACCCCATGAGGGATTCTCAAGACCTTAGATTTGAGAGTTATATTATATTTTCGCTATTGAATTTATTAATTAATAACTATTTAAACGGGGAAATTACAGTCGATCAATTGATAAATTCATTAGATAGTTTAGAAAGAATTGCTAGTAGAAATCCTTTTTTCACTAGTAACTAGAATTCCCCATCTCCAACGTTCCAACACTCGGTCCCTAGTTCCACAGTATAGTCCGTGCTCTCGGCGTCCCTGAGGTATAGCCTTAGAATATATATTACTGGAAGGGGAATTGCTATTGTTCTCCATGTAAAAATCTGTGTTCAAGTTGGGTGCGAGAGAGAAAGATAACTTTTAACCTATGCTCGCAATGCGCAAACGTAGATGACGTCACGGTGACGTCACGCTCACCGCGCCATTTGAAACTGGAAATGTAATTTCATTGCGAATGGAGGTAACAATCTACCCTTCTCTTTCCTTAAAAACGTGGTTCTCTCTCGCACCCAACTTAGACACAGGCTCGATCCTTTATTCCCCTTCCAGTAATATATGTTCTAAATTCTAAAGGTATAGCCGGTGTAAGCAGGTTGCCTCATAAAAAATAGAGAGCGCCCCATTCTTTCTAGCCTAGGAATAGAGAGAGTAGGAAGGTCACTAGGACGTGACAGAACGAACAGCAAAGGCAGCAAAGCAAAAGAACACACAACTAGTTGATTCTAATTATTGTTATTCTTATATTAGTTAAATAATAGATTTTAAGAATAAAATAGATTATTGTGAGAATATAAAAGCAAAAATCGTAATTTTAACCTCAAAATAATAAGAGAACAAAGAAATATGCTCTAATAAATTTTGATCACGTGACTGATTTGCTGCTGCAGCATGCTGCGTATGAAAAGGCACCTTAAGGGTGCCGTGTAAACGTACTCATTTTATTCTTTAAAAGAATGGCTGTGATTCGTCAGTGTATCAAATAATCGATGTAAACTAGGTCCATATCATCCCGTCATGGAAATGGATCCAAGATAGAAGATAAAAGAGACTTGCCATTCTATATTACTACTTTAGTTTATGACTTGTTTTTTTCTAGGAAGTATTTGTATCTTCCTTCTTGACAGATATATATTATTAATAATAATATTATTATCTATCGAAGGATAACTACTTTTGTCAAAACAACTTGATGTCAACCGCAACAAGTGGTTGATTTTTCTATGCTGATGAGTTGTCGGTCTAAGAATGCACGTCATTGATTTTCTCGCAGTGGAATAACGAAAATCGAGTTAAGCTCGGAGAAGAGAAAAAAGGTATTTAGACAGTTGAATTTATAATTTTTCAATTCACAATATAAGTTCATCAATTTTTTAAAATCACGATCTCATTACAAATACACGATTTTTATTCAGGACTAGATGACGTAAAAAATGTATATATACATATCAGATGCACATATTCATTATTTCTGTAAACTGCGAGTATATGAAGTCCATCCAACCCTCGTAGATTTTAATGATAAAAATTATTTATTTATTTATTTATAAACAGGAAAGAATCCCTTTGATATAAAAGAATACAAAATATCAACTATTAAACGAAGAAATAAAAGATATAAAAATATATAAGTAGAACACTCATCTTACAACCAATAATATAATTATATACTCATATTATGCGATGCAACCTAGATATGGGATATGCAATAAGATTCTATATGCTTCTTCGCTACTTGGATTTATTTTTAAGCATTGCTATATTTATATAGATCTGGCCAATAATATCATGTAATACACCGCTCTGTCATCATCGTGTAAATCCCGGGGAACGAAGAAATTGGGCCGGATGTATTTTAGTCGTTTTTACGCCTTTGTCGTTGTCGCTTAATTATTAATATATTTTTTTGGTGTCAAACTTTACATCCCGACGAAGCTGTTGATCAATACGCGAACGAGTTTTTAAGGTTTGAGGACTATCGATTATAGTTTAAAATTTTTTCTTCTCGAAACTATATCGACTTAATATATAAAAATAGACACAAAAAATTGTTAAATTTTTGTCAGTTTTTTCTGAGAAAAATTGAAATTAATTGACGAAATCGCGGTTCATGTTAAAGTAATTCCAAATAATTACTGGAAACTATTTTTTAATTTAATGCGTATTTTTTTAAATGATTTTTTTTAATTTAAAAGAGGTTTTTTTATAAAATAGCTTTCAAACGAAAAAATTCCTTAAAATTAATTAATAAATTGTCAAAAGCTGTCGGCTGCATCTTCGATTTGTTGGTTGAGCTTTTGAAAAAAGTTCAAGGTGACGGGACGCCAAACGTCAATTAAGGTCTTGCATCGAAAGCGCATGCGCAGGCACATCTCGTCGTTTTACGGCAAACGAGCGAGAAATCGATACATGTTTAAAATTTCATTCACGCATTTTCTTTGATGTTGGATCTTCAACTAATACCAGTGTCGTTTTGTTAAAGTTTTCTCGTTTATTCGCAACGTTTATTTTTCTCTGCGTTTTCCCGATTTTATAACAGCAAAAAGTATCTTATGAATTCTTCATCCTGAAAAATGACATCTAAGTAGCATAAGCGTACGTCATTTTGACGTTTAATGACGTCAGTTTGCTATTTGGGATTCTACTAAATTTTTTCCTACGCTTTTACAAAAAATTGTTTTGCACAAAAGTTATTTAACTTTAAGGGAAATACAATAAAACAATAATGATATTATAATTTGTTTACTGATGTTGCCACTTTTGAGAAATTCATTATCATCACTTTTGTTTTAAGGTGGATCTTGTTTTAAATCTTTTTTAAAAGAAAAGTTGTAGGTGAGACAAATCGTTGAAACAAATCCAATCATATTATTCAGAATTTTCTTGATGTTTTCACGATAATTTTTTATGTCAAAGAAACTTAATTTTCATTAAAAAAGTTTTTATGCGAAATTTTTTTTGTAAAAGACATAGAGGAAAAAAGATATATTTACATATTATATGTTAATTTATATTTATTTATATTTTGTTAATTTATATATATATATATATATATATATATATATATATATATATTAATTTATATTATATATTTATATATTATATATTAATTTATATTATATATTATAATATTAATTTATATTATATATTTATATTATATATTAATTTTGTACACATATTCAAAAGTTTTTCTAAGTAAAAATTTTCTCGAAATTTTGTGCAAACGTTTAAAATGGTCATTTTCAATGTTTAGCGGACGCCATATTGAGAACAAAAAAAATTATACGCGGAAAAAATGAAAACTATCTGGGTTATTGGCGGGCCAGGATGCGGCAAAGGAACACAATGCGATCGTATGATCGAAAAATACGGATTTCTTCACTTGAGCAGCGGTGATTTGTTACGAGCGGAAGTGGCCAGTGGCAGCGATAGAGGAGCATCACTACAGGATTTAATGTCCAAAGGATTATTCGTGCCAACGGTATGTTAATAATATCACGCGCGCATTTTATTTCGAATCACTATATAATTATCAGAGATGTGCATTATTTGTAAAATAGATGCATTTAAAATGTGAAATGTCTATTTTGTATTTTTTATTTAAAATTAATTTTTTTTTAAAACTATTTTACATTTTCATTATGATTTCTATATCTAAGTAGCAATAAACTGACGTCATTAAACGTCAAAAAGACGTCATTTCGACATCTAATGTTATTCGACGTTAAAACGATGTACATTTGCTATCTGGGTATTACATTGCAATTAAAATGCCATTTTGAAAGAATAAATAAATATAAATATAAAAATGTAAATATTAAAAGATTTTACTTTCAAAAATCTATTTAAAAATGCCTATTTCTCAATTCCTATTATAAATTGTTGTCTTTACATTTTGAATTGGAAAGATTTCAATTACTTTGCATTTTATATTTTAAATGGGCTTGAACCCATTAAATTATATAATTACTAATAAATTAATTAAAGTAAATTAAAATTACTTGTGTGCATTAAAGTTAAATGAATAAAAAAAATAACATCTCGCGCGTCTTACGCGAACGAACCCGGTTTTTCTCAGTGTGAAGCTCATGTGGTTTCGCTAGGACATCGTGCTGGAGCTTATAAAGGAAAAGATGGATAAAGCTCGCGAAGAAGGAACCACAAAGACTGGATTCCTCATCGACGGATATCCCCGTGAGAAGGAGCAGGGCATTCTTTTTGAGCAAAAGGTAAGACTTTCCTTCTTTCTCTCTCTTCAGTTTTCGTTGTCCTTTATTTTTCCTGAAACACTGATGTTGTTGCGCAGGTTTGCCCCGTCAACTTAATTCTTTTCTTCGATGTAGCGAACGAGACTTTGAAGAAAAGACTTCTCGGACGTGCTGCCGTATCGCAAAGAGCGGATGATAACGAAGAAACCATCAAAAAGAGAATAGAGATATTTAACGAAAAGAACAACGAGATTGTCGAGCATTACAAAGACAAAGTTGTTAGAGTGAGTCTTGATAATTAAATATCCTTTATTTCTATTGTATATTAGGTATTTCATCAACTTACAAAAATTAATTACTCTATTTTAGATCAATGCGGAGGGAGCAATAGATGAAATATTCGCAGAAGTCACAAAAGCGCTGGACGCTCTATTTGCTTAGTTAAATTGCAATTGAAAATTTTGAAGAGTAACAAGAGATCTGTTGCTACCTTTGTCAAAGTTCATTCTTAGTAGTATGATACTCTTATTGCTCGTTAAAATGAAACAAATAAGGTATCTCTTTAATTGTTAATTGTTGAATAAAATTATATCGATATACAACTCTGTTGCAAGTTTGAATTATATACATTTATATCTTTATTTTTATTTTTCTATATTTGTTCTTTAAATAAATTCTTTTTAGTCGAGACTAGACAATACAAGCGCGTGCTTCGCGCTGTAATTATCTAATTCAGCTAAATTATCCGATTTACTATAATAATTTACATTTTTAATAATTGTAATTTTATTTATGGAAAATTATCAAATTGTTAATTCTCGTGATAACAGCTGCGCTCGATGATATGAATATAATGAACGATCGCAAATCGAGACAGATGATCAGTATCGCGAAAAAGCAACAACAAGGTCAATGACATGTCTAAATATTTAAAAAGGGATATACTAGATAAGAAATTTTAGTTTCTGTCCAAATTTTTCAGTAATAATCTCTTTCTTTTTAATTATAACAATGTCGATGACTTAATGTTATGAAATAAATTAAGATGATATTAGAGCAGAGATTATCTATGTTAACTTTTAGCTTTGGCAAATTGCACAACCATAGGTTTATCTTTTAATATATATCCATTAGTTTCTTCGAGGGCCATTTTGGCCTGTAAATTATTTTGTAAGGTGATAAAAGCTTGACCCTTCATTCTACCCTCTTGCATGAGTCGTACATCATATCTGTAATACAGATAATAATAATGCATTACGAGATATTTATAAGATATGACAGTAGAAATATAGTGTGGTACAAACAAAACACTTACTCATTTTCAACATCTTTCAATCCTGCAATAACATATCTTTCATAAATATAATGCAGATCCTTTGTTTCTACTTGTTTCGCTAGGTTCTTTATATAGAGACGATTGGAAGGTTTGCCTGGATGATAATTCTTGAACACTGGCAGTAATCTCTGATCATTAATGGAAATTCTATTAGCTGCCAATTCTTCAGAAGTTATAAACTTATTCTTTTGCGTTTCTGCATTTTCCTGATTATCCTTTGCGTTTTTGGTAGTTTTATTAATTGGAGACATTAAACCGAATCCACCATCTATTGCTATAGTGTTATCTTGCTTATTCACAGATGCTTCGTCCAACGATTTATCCAAAGTTTTTAATTCAATCTTAAGATTTTTAATCTCTTCACGCTGAACAGACTCAAACATATCTTCCGGTTTGATGACTTTTTGTGTAGATGAAGAAGCTGTGATTTTGGCAGGGTTGACAAATTTTGGAATTTTTAAACGTTTTGTAGATTGTGGGCGCTTTCTTTTAACAGGAATAATTTCTGGAGGCCTGACGTCTTCTCCATCTGATTCTAATTCAGACTCCTCTTCTTCTTCTTTGTCTTCATTCGTATGTTCATGTAATATATCTACATAGAAAAAAGTTTATTTAAAATTGATTTCTCTATGAAAGCTTAATGCATTTATTATTATGAATTTTTATTTCTATTATATATATTTTTATATTCCTATTACATATATAGGGTGTTCTGCAACGTGATGTCCATACTGAAACTGTGTATTCTTGGTGCCATTTGAAGTCAAAATATCATACCCTAAAGTCGATTGTTTTAAAGTTATAGTGAAAAAACAAAATTGCATAAAATAAGAGCAGTATTATTTAATAAAGATAATTTTATTTATTGAACAATAATATTAAACAATAATTAACTACTTTGATCAATACATTAATAAATTGATCAAAACAGCAATCGAAAATCGAACTTTCGTGACTGGCATTACAAAAACTACTTGAGTTATAATAAAAAAATTAATAAACAATAATTAAAATAATTAATAAGTAAATAATAATTCAAAATTATAAATAAGTAAGTATATAATTACTTTTGCATTTTTTTCGATATAACTTTAAAACAATCGATTTAGGGCATATGTGCAATAAGACTTTTTGACTTAGAATGACACCAAGAATACAGTTTCAGTATAGACATCATGTTGCGGGACATCTTGTGTACATTTATATTTTCATTACCAAATATATCTTTATACTTCTCCACATCATATGCTTCCTTAAGTATAGTAGGAAATTCTACCTCCAATTCTTCAAAGGGAGGTGGTAGATTCATCTTATTCATTAAATGTAATACCTATAAATATATACAAGAGTTGTCATTGCGTTATCAATTAAAATTTTACTGTAACATAAAATAAAATAATTATAAATACATATTTGACCTGTGTATAAAAAGCTGGTACTTTTAACAGCTGTATAGCTATTCTTATTAATGTATTTTTCGTCGGTGGCATATATTTGTATTTTATATTAGGCGGAGGAGGCTGACTAAACTCGTGATTTATAGTCCAATTATTTAACTTGCGTAGGAATGTTTGAACGTGAGATTTATTAGCAGTCTCCGCTCTTTTTGCTTCATTGTTCGCTGGTGACTCGTTAATATCTTGCTCCGGATATTCAGTGAACACGGACTTTTTGGCATACTGAACCGACAGATATTGTCTTCGAACATTCAATTGATGGAGGCGTATCAGTGCTTCTGCTGCCAATTGTTGTGACGAAAACCTTGCATAAGTGACAGTATATTTCTCAGATAGTCGAATCGTTTTGGTTTTTATTGCACCATATTTTTGTAACAAGACATCGCGTCGATCATCGGAAAGATGCGAAGGCAAATGAAGAATCCTCAAAGTGTCACATGTCTGAAAATATATTAAAAGTTACTTCTGATATATAAGATAAGAATAAACAAATTGTGTGATGATAGATAGGATAAACGAATAATAATTCCAATAAAATTGAAGCTAATTTGCATCTCAATCAAACACTATAAAATATAACTTAAAATTACAGAAATAATTTCTGACAATCTTTGTTGAATTAAAAATGATTACAACAAAACGTTTTCACAGAAGAAAAAATGCACTAAGTATATGCAAATGTTTTTCTAAAGATTGTTCTATAAGCTTGAAAATAAAATTTAAAAATATATTTAGAAGTGTATGCAGTAGAAAAATAAATATAGAATCAAAGCTCAAGTATAAATGGTGTATCAACTTTGCCAATTATTATCTGATCTAATATAATTACAGGAATCATTTTGACGATCTTTGTTGAATTAAAAATGATTGAAATTCGGAGTTTCCCTCTAACCTAAACAAAATGTAAACAAACTTATAAATTACAAATATCTAGATGCGATATATTTCATCATTTTTGTTATCAGGTTATGGGTATTTTAAGGGTCGACAGGCGACATGGTGGAGACACCTATCGGCCGGCCGGGAATTACAGATTTTTATTTTCCAGATATTAGCCAAAATATTGAATAAATCTTATTAAGGGTCGACAGGCGACATGGTGGAGACGCCTATCGGCCGGCCGGGAATTACGGATTCGTTCATCCCATATATTAGCCAAAATACTTAATGAATCTTATTAAATTTACGATATTCTTAATCAGTAGGATTGTCCGCAGGGAGACAAAGATCGATTTTTTGGAAAAAAGATAAATATAAAATTCATAATATAACTTGGGAAGATGCGCAGCTAGCAGCGGGTAAGGTTGGGTTAGCCACGAGATCGTATTTAATTTATTATAAATTTTTAAGAGCAATAATGCAAAATTTGACTCTTTGTCTCCCTGCTTTATTATATAAAGAATATATTAAAAAATATTTCACGAAGCTACGTAACTTCTTTTTATGTAATATTTGGGATGAACAAATCTCACTAGATCTATACTCATGGGGAAATTTTTGTGGTAACATACTGACAGCTTGACAAGGAGAGAGTATCATTCTATCTTTGTCTCTCTTGCATTTGATATGTGTAAAATCAGTATAAATACAAAAACCAATATATTACGCACACGAATGAGAAATATTTTACATCTGCTCATTATATATAAAAATATAAAAGTAATGCAAATTAAATTTCACATTTATTTATAATAGTATTGTGAGGTAGTAACACATATGGAAATCTTATAAGATAAATGCTGTACATCGATTAGCGTAATATTATGATTACAAGTCGCAATAAATGATTTTGCTAATATATTATTTTGAATAAAAATTTTATAAAAACAAATAAAAATAAAATGAATAAATTTTATTCATTCTTTGTTTTTTTCTATTATTTTTTCTATTATTTGAATAAAAGGCGTATCGTATGTAATAGATAAATAATAATTTATATATATGTATATATTGAAATTAATATATATATATATATATATATATATATAAATTTCAAAACGTATAATTATATATTTATATAAATTATCTATCTATTTAATCTATTACACACGATACATCTTTTATTCATAATAAAATATAATAGAAAAAATTTAATAGAAGAAGAAAACAAAGAATGAAGAAAATTTATTAATTTCATTCTTTTTGTTTTTATATTTTTTTAATTTTTATTCAAAATAATATATTAGCAAAATCATTTATTGACTTGTAATCATATTATGCTAATCGATGTACAGAATTCATCTTATATGATTTTCATGTATTAACTACCTCATAATACTAGTATAAATTAATGTAAAATTTAATTTCCATTACTTTTATATTTTTATATGGGATGAGCAAATGTAAAATATTTCTTATCCGTGTGCGTAATTTATATTAAAATATAATTATTATATAAATAATTAAATAAAAATATATATAATAAATAATTTATTATATTTATAAAAAAATTTATGTAATAAATTGTCTGTATAATATTTTACTTATTTATAAAATGTATTTTATAAATAAATAAAAAAATAAATGAATTAGATAAATATGATAAATTAGTGAATGTGGTAGGAAATGTCATATTTATTTTTTAGTCAATATATAAATTAAATGTTTATTAAATTTAATATTAATTTAAATTATATATTGATTAAAAAATAAATGAATTAGATAAATATGATAAATTAGTGAATAAGGTAGGGAAATAATTTTTTTTCTATAAATTAATTATAAAATTTGAATATAAATAAATTTTTATAAAAAAATTTTTAAAAATTTAAATAATTTTTAATGATTTATTAATATTTAAAATAATTATTTTAATAAAAATTATAATAGATAATTTTATTTATATTATTAATAAATTTAGGTGCCAGCAATTGCGGTTAAACTGATGATAAGAATAAATAATTTTAATAATTTAAAGAATATAAAAAGGAGATTTAAATATTTTTTTTTAATTTTATTTATAGTGAAATGTAATAATTTTAGTTAATAAAAAAAATTTATTTTGGAAAATTTATTTCTAATTAAGTTTAAAAAGAAATTAGGATTAGATACCCTATTATTTAAATAAAAATAAAATTAATTAAATATTAAATGTAAAGCATTAAAAATAAAAAATTTGGCGGTAATTTATTATATTAGAAAAACTTGTTGATTAATTTGATAATCCACAAATGGATTAACTTAATATAAATATTTTATATATTGTTGAAAATTAAATTAAGAGATTTTAATTATAAATTTATATTATAAATTAAATTCAAATCAAAATGTAGAATTATTAAGATTTAGATGAGTTATATTGAAAAATATTTTTTTTGTAAATTATATTTAAATTTATTATTTAAAAAGGATTTAAATGTAAATTTATAAAAATTTATAAGTTGAATTATATTTAAATTATGTACAAATTGCCCGCCGTTCTTATTAATTATGATTTGTAAGAAAAGTCGTAACAAAGTAAATATATTGGAAAATGTATTTAAAATAAAAAAAAATTTTAGTTTATTTAAAAATTTTTTATTTACATTGAAAAGATTAATGATTTAATATGATTTATTAAAATTAAAAAAAATTAAATTTAAATATTTATGAAAAATTTAATATGATTTGTGTGTGTGATTATTTTAATTAAATAAAATTATAATAAAAAATTAAATAGAGTTAGTTTTTGAATTGTTGAAGTATTAAAAAAAATTAAATAAATATTATAGATATAAGTAATGTAAATGAAAATTTAAAATAAATAATTAATTAAATAAAAGTAAATTTTATTAATTGTACCTTTTGTATCAGGGATTATTAAATTTTGTTGTTTATTGGAATAATTTAAATTTCTCGGAATAAAATGAGTTAAATAAAATATTAAAGTTAATGTATAAAAATTATTTTAAATATTTATTTGAAAAAGATATTTTAATCCACTTTTATGATATCTAGTTTTTTTTATATAAATTTAATTTATATATAAATCATTTACAATTAATTAAATTAATAATAAAATTTAATTAGTAAATTTATGTAAAAAATTTATGGGATTAACTATAAATTATAATTAAAATATTTTATGAATATAAATGATTTAAATAGAAAAATATTTTTATTTTTAAAAATTTTTTATAAAAATTTAATAATTTATTATGGAATGGATTATTCTAATTTAAATATAATAATAATTTGAAAATTTGATTTAATTAAATAAAAAAATATTTTAAATAAATTAAGTATTTTAATAAATAATGATAGTATAAGTATATTTATATTAATTATATAGAAATTTTTAAATTTAAAATATATATGTATATATAATTAAAGAATTAGGCAAATTTATTTTATTAAATTAAAATTTTAATTTACTTGTTTAACAAAAACATGGTTTTTTGATAATTTAAAATTATTTCTGCTCAGTGATTTTTAAATAGCCGCAGTATATTGACTGTGCAAAGGTAGCATAATCAATTGTTTTTTAAATGAAAACTGGAATGAAGGAATTGATGAAATTAAAGCTGTTTCAATTTGTAGATTTAAAATTTAAATTTTAAGTTAAAATTCTTAAAAGAAATTATGGGATGAGAAAACCCTATTGAATTTAATATAATTTTTAAATTTATTTAAGGAAATAAATTTTATTTTAATGATTATATTTTATTGGGAGGATAATTAAATAAAATAAACTTTAATTTAAAGATAATTTTAACATTAATTAATGAAATTTTTATAAAGGATTGATTATTAAATTAAGAAAATTTTTTTTTTTTAATAATAATTATTATAAAAATTAATTACCTTAGGGATAACAGCGTAATATTTTTAGAAAGATTATATTAATAAAAATGATTGCGACCTTGATGTTGAATTAAAATAAAAATTAAATGAAGAAGTTTTATTTATTTTAGTCTGTTCGACTAATAAAATTTTACATGATTTGAGTTCAGATCGGTGTAAGCCAGATCGGTTTCTATCTATAATAAAATTAAGAAAATTTTGTACGAAAGGACTTTTTTTCAAATTATATTTTTTTTAATGAATAAATTTAATTGATTAAATATATGTAAATAAATAAAATTACTTTGGCAGAATTTAAGTGTATTAAATTTAGAATTTAAATGATGTATAATAGAAAAAAATTATACAAGTAATAATTTGTCAAAATTTAAGATTATATTTTTATAGTGCGTTAAATATATTAAGATTGTTAATTTTGTTATTAATTATATTAGTTGGGGTAGCTTTTTTAACTTTATTGGAACAAAAAATTTTAAGATATGTACAAATTCGTAAAGAACCTAATAAGGTGGGATTTATAAGATTATTTCAATCTTTTAGTGATGCTATTAAATTACTTAATAAAGAATTATTTTATGTATATAAATCTAATTATAATTTTTTTTATGTCCTATAATTAGATTTGTTTTAATAATAATATGATTAGTATTTCCTTACATTACTAATATTTATTTTTTAAATTATTCTATTTTATTAATAATTGTTTTATAACTATTAGAGGGTATGTTATAATTTTTATGGGATGATCAGCTAATTCGATTTATTCAAAAATAGGGGCAATACGATCAGTTTCACAAATATTATCATTTAAAGTAAGATTTATTTTAATTGTTTTAGTTATTATATTAATAAGAGAGAGATATTCTTTTTTTGATTTTATTAATTATCAATTTTATTTATGATATATAGTAGTTTTATATCCTTTGTTTATTATATTTTTTATTAGGATTTTAGCTGAATTAAATCGAAGTCCTATAGATTTTATCGAAGGTGAGTCAGAATTAGTTTCAGGGTTTAATATTGAATATTTTAGGGGTGCGTTTACATTAATTTTTTTATCTGAATATCGAATAATTATTTTTTTTAGATTAATTAGAATTTATATATTTAGAAATTTATTAAAATATTCAATAATTTTAACTTTTATTTTAATTAATATTTTATGTAG